TTAACCTATACCTATTATAGGTTAGGTAATAATTGTAATTACGAAGCAATAAGATGCTTATCTTAACATACTAACAAGGTTAGGTAAGGTCGGTGTTTTCTATGAATCTTTTTAAGGGTATCTATTATGTTAAGTATGTCACCTATGCACATATTTAATAAGTCAATATTGACTTATTAAATTTGCGAGAACGGGTTGCAATATGTGGCGCTCATCAAATAATCCCCGCTGTACTTTATGGCGTATCATCATGTTCACCATTCATTCAGGTTCGTTCACCATTATTTAGTGACGCATGGCGCTGCGATTGGCTCTGCTGTGTCGAGCTGCCAGACAGATGAGTAAAGAGGTTTACAGGTAAACTCCGTCATGATTACTGTCCGTTCAGTACCCTCCACGCTATATTCCTGGCAGCTTTCGTTTACTTGGGGCGAAATTCACTAAAGCACTTACGCAAACACTTACGAACGTGTACATCTTTCCTCAATCTTCGACGGCTTTGGTTACATTTATTAAACAGTTTACAAGCATGAAAACTTCCCATTCAACTGCTGTTATTGTTATAAACAGCCTCCTGGTGCTTCGGAGCTCATTAACTGTTTAATAATTGGAAACAAAGCCGGCAAAGATTGAGAAAAGATGTACAGGTTCGTAAGTGCTTGCGTAAGTGCTTTCGTGAATCTGGCCCCTGGACTCTAAGAAGTACATTTCTTGAACGTTATTGGTATGATTATTTTTGTATTCATAATTGTTTTCGCATTCAGTTATATAGTGTCGAAAAATATGTTAATAGTTTTGCTGACAGACTTTACGCTTAGTCAAGCTAATTACTCATTAGCAGGTAGTGCAAACTCCCAGAGGCACTTGTAGTCGAACCTAAGCCTATATTGGTAACGTCTAAAAGTCTGCTAACCTTATAGGATGACCCGTAGATGTGCGGGTTCTTCCTGCATAATAGAATGATGATAGATGGAGTAACTGGTGGGAATTTCACTTTGCCTCAAGTCTACGAGATTTTGTTGGTGTTCCCTGAATATTGCTGCCCTCAGACTCCTCAGAGGCAGTTCAAGATGGTGAGCATTTCCCCTCTTTACATACAAATATTTTGGCTAACTCGTCAGTTCTATCACGCATTCGAAGACCAATATGAGAACGAATGCGCAGGAGAAAAGTTTTCAGTTGACAAGTTCTTAATGTAATAGGCTTGTGCCACTTTTGACTATAGTTCAATAGTGGCTTTAGGCATTGTATGTACTAGCTCTATCTATTAATCCAACAAACTTTGTAAAATCTCTTTATGTATGTACCTTACCTAAATAAACATTTATTTATTATTTATATTTATTTAAATCCACATTTATTCAGTGGGTTTAAATTGTAAACGATTTCTGGTGGGGCAAGCGAGAAACATCAGCTTTTGTAAGTGGGTTAAACTTCGAAAATTAATGCAATTTTACAGTTTACATCTACGAATATGCTGCTCTTTGACCACTGTGAGTTTTCTGGGAAATCGGTTAGTTATTTCTCTCATATGTAATTTCATGTTGTAAATTTTACATTTAAATTTGCACCTCACAATAATTTTATGCAATTTGTAGTTCATATGATTTATTTGCGCATGTCTTGAAAGTTAATATTACATTGTCTCTATTATGCAGTTTCATTATTCCTAGCAAGCATTGTTCTTCATATACTGGAATCATAACAAAATTGAATCTATTTACAGTTCCCTCCTTGTGGCGACATTTGACCATCATAGTCTAGTTAAACAGTAGTAGTAGTATTAATATATACACGTACCAAGAGCAGGCGATGGGTCACAATAACGTGGCTAAAGTATGTTGACCAGACCACACACTAGAAGGTGAAGGGACGTTTCGCTCCGTCCTGGACCATTCTCAAGTCGATTATCTTGAGAATGGTCCAGGACGGACCGAAACGTCGTCGTCCCTTCACCTTCTAGTGTGTGTGGTCTGGTCAACACGTACCAAGAGGATGCAAGCCAGGGGCCAGATTCACGAAAGCACTTACGAACGTGTACATCTTTCCTCAATCTTTGACGACTTTGGGTACATTTATTGAACAGTTTACAAGCATGAAAACTTGCCAATTAACTGTTGTTATTGTTATAAACAGCCTCCTGGTGCTTCGGAGCTCATTAACTGTTTAATAATTGGGATCAAAGCCGCCAAAGATTGAGAAAAGATGTACACGTTCGTAAGTGCTTTTGTGAATCTGGCCTCAGAGCCCTACTAACTGAACATTCTTACACACAGGAATCCCAATAACGCGATGCATCAAATGAACATATAGCGTCTGGGATGCTCCCCCCAGACGTTAGGTACGAATCCTCGTTACGGCCCTTGTGGATTTGTTCAACTGAACAGTTTGTTTGTGTCCCCCCGCAGGGTGCGCGTTTGTGAAGTACGGCTCCCACACGGAGGCCCAGGCCGCCATTAACACCTTGCACGGGAGCCAGACAATGCCGGTAAGTCGAACTGTAAGTCACCATTACCCCAAGTTTTCTTATAGTGTTGGTAAGTAGCACTGTAACTCGGTTTTTTATTTTTGTTGTCGTCTATGTTTTTTGTGGTCTGTAGTTGTTGCTGTTTTGTTTGTTTTGTATTGTTTCTACCGTTCTTTGGTATATTTGTGTATTGTTTTGTCTTGTCTCGTAGTTTGGATCACGAATCTCGCTTATTTTTTCTTTATTAAATAATATACACTATGAAGATCATATTTACATCAATTCAACATACAGTAACCCTCCTGCCTGCCTATCCACACACACAGTAACCCTCCTGCCTGCCTATCCACACACAGTAACCCTCCTGCCTGCCTATCCCACACACAGTAACCCTCCTGCCTGCCTATCCACACACAGTAACCCTCCTGCCTGCCTATCCACACACAGTAACCCTCCTGCCTGCCTATCCACACACAGTAACCCTCCTGCCTGCCTATCCACACACACAGTAACCCTCCTGCCTGCCTATCCACACACAGTAACCCTCCTGCCTGCCTATCCCACACACAGTAACCCTCCTGCCTGCCTATCCACACACAGTAACCCTCCTGCCTGCCTATCCACACACAGTAACCCTCCTGCCTGCCTATCCACACACAGTAACCCTCCTGCCTGCCTATCCACACACAGTAACCCTCCTGCCTGCCTATCCACACACAGTAACCCTCCTGCCTGCCTATCCACACACAGTAACCCTCCTGCCTGCCTATCCCACACACAGTAACCCTCCTGCCTGCCTATCCACACACAGTAACCCTCCTGCCTGCCTATCCACACACAGTAACCCTCCTGCCTGCCTATCCACACACAGTAACCCTCCTGCCTGCCTATCCACACACAGTAACCCTCCTGCCTGCCTATCCACACACAGTAACCCTCCTGCCTGCCTATCCACACACAGTAACCCTCCTGCCTGCCTATCCACACACAGTAACCCTCCTGCCTGCCTATCCACACACAGTACCCTCCTCCTGCCTATCCACACACAGTAACCCTCCTGCCTGCCTATCCACACACAGTAACCCTCCTGCCTGCCTATCCACACACAGTAACCCTCCTGCCTGCCTATCCACACACAGTAACCCTCCTGCCTGCCTATCCACACACAGTAACCCTCCTGCCTGCCTATCCACACACAGTAACCCTCCTGCCTGCCTATCCACACACAGTAACCCTCCTGCCTGCCTATCCACACACAGTAACCCTCCTGCCTGCCTATCCACACACAGTAACCCTCCTGCCTGCCTATCCACACACAGTAACCCTCCTGCCTGCCTATCCACACACAGTAACCCTCCTGCCTGCCTATCCACACACAGTAACCCTCCTGCCTGCCTATCCACACACAGTAACCCTCCTGCCTGCCTATCCACACACAGTAACCCTCCTGCCTGCCTATCCACACACAGTAACCCTCCTGCCTGCCTATCCACACACAGTAACCCTCCTGCCTGCCTATCCACACACAGTAACCCTCCTGCCTGCCTATCCACACACAGTAACCCTCCTGCCTGCCTATCCACACACAGTAACCCTCCTGCCTGCCTATCCACACACAGTAACCCTCCTGCCTGCCTATCCACACACAGTAACCCTCCTGCCTGCCTATCCACACACAGTAACCCTCCTGCCTGCCTATCCACACACAGTAACCCTCCTGCCTGCCTATCCACACACAGTAACCCTCCTGCCTGCCTATCCACACACAGTAACCCTCCTGCCTGCCTATCCACACACAGTAACCCTCCTGCCTGCCTATCCACACACAGTAACCCTCCTGCCTGCCTATCCACACACAGTAACCCTCCTGCCTGCCTATCCACACACAGTAACCCTCCTGCCTGCCTATCCACACACAGTAACCCTCCTGCCTGCCTATCCACACACAGTAACCCTCCTGCCTGCCTATCCACACACAGTAACCCTCCTGCCTGCCTATCCACACACAGTAACCCTCCTGCCTGCCTATCCACACACAGTAACCCTCCTGCCTGCCTATCCACACACAGTAACCCTCCTGCCTGCCTATCCACACACAGTAACCCTCCTGCCTGCCTATCCACACACAGTAACCCTCCTGCCTGCCTATCCACACACAGTAACCCTCCTGCCTGCCTATCCACACACAGTAACCCTCCTGCCTGCCTATCCACACACAGTAACCCTCCTGCCTGCCTATCCACACACAGTAACCCTCCTGCCTGCCTATCCACACACAGTAACCCTCCTGCCTGCCTATCCACACACAGTAACCCTCCTGCCTGCCTATCCACACACAGTAACCCTCCTGCCTGCCTATCCACACACAGTAACCCTCCCTGCCTGCCTATCCACACACAGTAACCCCCTCCTGCCTGCCTATCCACACACAGTAACCCTCCTGCCTGCCTGCCTATCCACACACAGTAACCCTCCTGCCTGCCTGCCTATCCACACACAGTAAACCCACCTGCTTGCTTATCCACACACAGTAATCCTTCTGCCTGCTTATCCACACACAGTAGCCCTCCTGCTTGCTTATCCACACACACAGTACCCCTCCTGCCTGCCTATCCACACACAGTAACCCACCTGCCTGCTTATCCACACACAGTAATCCTTCTGCCTGCCTATCCTACACACACAGTAACCCTCCTGCCTGCCTATCCACACACAGTAACCCTCCTGCCTGCCTATCCACACACAGTAACCCTCCTGCCTGCCTATCCACACACAGTAACCCTCCTGCCTGCCTATCCCACACACAGTAACCCTCCTGCCTGCCTATCCACACACAGTAACCCTCCTGCCTGCCTATCCACACACAGTAACCCTCCTGCCTGCCTATCCACACACAGTAACCCTCCTGCCTGCCTATCCACACACAGTAACCCTCCTGCCTGCCTATCCACACACACAGTAACCCTCCTGCCTGCCTATCCCACACACAGTAACCCTCCTGCCTGCCTATCCACACACAGTAACCCTCCTGCCTGCCTATCCACACACAGTAACCCTCCTGCCTGCCTATCCACACACAGTAACCCTCCTGCCTGCCTATCCACACACAAAAAATGTAATCAGAAAGTAGCATAATTATTGTATTCTTAATTTTCTTGCATTTTATGCCAATATGAAACGTTAAAAACCTCATTAAATCCACAGTAATGTTTGGTTTACATAAAGCTTTAATTAAGAGTGTCTGTAAACCCGTTCACAAGAACAACTTTCTGCTAACAGAAATAAAATATATGTTTATTATTCTCAATATAAGTACATTGATCTCGCCTATTGTTGTCCTTAATTCCCAACATCAACAACCTATCATTAGTAGGGAGGGTCTCATGAATATAGCGATACAATGCTGACTAACACCCCAGGTACCTATTTTACTGCTAGGTAACAGGGACATTCAGGGTGAAAGAAACTTTGCCCATTTGTTTCCGCCTCGTGCGGGAATCGAACCCGCGCCACAGAATTACGAGTCCTGCGCGCTATCCACCAGGCTACGAGGCCCCAATACTTCAACTTGTTTCGTAAATGTTTAATAAATGCTATAAATGTTATAATAAATAAACAAATAAAATAAATAAATATAATAATAGAATAATAAAATAATAAAAAAAATAGTATAAATGTTAAATAAATAAACACCTTCATGTTTGATAAATTTAAAATACCTTCATGTTAAATAAATTTTACATGAAGGTTTACCCATATTACTCGCCAGTTCAAGAGTGGATATGCCTCCTCTACTCTAGGAACTATGTGGAAGCAGAACATTATACACTTGTTTACTGTTCATCATTAAAACAAAAACTTCAACATTACAAATCCGCCTGAGAACATTAATTGCACAAGAATAAAAGTGAGAAGAAATATTCGTGTTCGAGCATAGCTCTGTCACCTCACCCAAAACGAGTATAAGTATGAATGTATTTTATGTGTAAAGTAAGTCTTTGAAAATGTAATAAGCATTACGAAACGCGTTCAGGCGTCAGATCACAATAAAGAATGAATTTTGGAGAGTTAATTTATCAATTACCCTCGACAGTGAAGAAGAACGTAAGAAATATTGAGAAGATTCGTGTTAGAATTATTTATCTTACCTTTACGGTCATATTCAACAAGATATAATATATATATATATATATATATATATATATATATATATATATATATATATATATATATATATATATATGTGATATATAACGTCGTTGGTAGTAGCCAGTTTCAAAAGCTAGGGTATGGCCTCGTCACATATAGAAACAAAAAGAGAAAATCTGGAACTTCGTCTGTGGTAAGGTAATGGGAAGACACACAAAACACAAGTAAATTTAACAATGAGATTTTAATTACGTTAGAGAAGCAAAACATGAATAAAATGGACATACAAATTGGAACATAAAATCAATCAAAATAATAAGAATAATCAAATGACAAAATGAAAAGTTACGTTAAGACAAGTGAGTAATAACAAGTGAACAATATACAATCAGATATATAGGTGCAGGAATATTGGCTTTAAGCTGCCACCTCTCTTAGTACACATAAGCCAGAGCTTAGTCTAAAAATTAACTTGTTGAAAGCACTGGATATTCTGAGGTCTGCAGGTCGTGGCGGCCCCAGACATCAGGTAGTGTGGCGGTGGAGGAGCAGGCGCGACTGACCACCGGCCAATCAGCGATGAGCAGGCGACGGACAGGTAGTTTGGTGGTTCGAGAGGCGGAGCAGGTGTTCCTGGTGCTGAATACGTTGCTCTCTGGCAAAGTTGTACTTGTTGGATATTCCTTCCATATTAGTTGTATAGGGAGTATAGCGACGAACTTAGGAGGGAAGAGCAGGCTCAATCTCTTGAAGGAGATTATCGTCATATATATATATATATATATATATATATATATATATATATATATATATATATATATATATATATATATATATATAATATGGAACGAAGTTGTACCGATTATCTAATTCCCTGTACTTGG